GAAAACTCGTGAAAAATCATTAAAATTTTCGAAATTGCGTTAAATTGAAATTTAACCCATGTCTCGTTGGTGTTTATTCGTATAGACAGTTTTTAGCGTTTCTACAGTGTTTTTCATTTATTACAGTGAGTAAAAAGTACTAAAAATTTGGCACATTTTAAAAGATTCGAATTTTTCTCTGTTTTTTGATACATTTTTGACCAAAAAAAAATCAAAAAATGGAGAATTTTAATGATTTTTCACGAGTTTCTATACTTAAAAAACTGTAAAAAAGGTCTCTACACCAGGTATTTCATTATAAGATTCATAAAATACGGCCATACCATCGGCGTTCCATCTGACCACACCCAGTTCGATGCATTATTCTTTGAAAGCCCCACCCAGAGGGGCGAATCCTGATTTGATTGGGCTGAAAAAAATTAGTTTTCTATCCGTCGCCCCTTTTACCGTACCCCCAACGGCAAATACGCGTTGATAGGTGTCTTTTGTAGCCCCCAACACCCCTCCATCATTCCCACAAACTCCCGAAGCTGTCGGGGCATCGGTTGCGGCGTTTGAAACCTAAAAAATTTAGGTGATTTTAGCAGGTACGTTTACGAGTATTTTTGGTTGTTTTTTATTATAAAAAATCCCTAGAAAAATTTAGAAAATTAAAAATACGAATTTTTTTAAATTACAATACATTTTGACCAAAATTTCGAAAATTTTAATGGCTTTTTAAACTTTTTATAGGTTAAAAATTGGCAAAAAACCATAAGGGTGTTGTGGGTTTCTTTCCTGGGTCCAATAGCGCGATAGGCCAAAAGTTACCCCCGCTAAAAAACAAGTACCAAAAATCACCTTGAAACATCCTTCAGCGGGTGTATACCGGGGTGTATCCTGTGCTGATCGATACCCCTTTGGGCAGAGACAATTTGCTAAAGGGTGTCCGTACTACCCTATCCTTCAATCCACCGTACCCTCACACATCAGATGCACAATCGCCTTTTCGTCCTCATCCTGATACAGATTGAGGCCATCAATCCAATACCCACGGCTAGCGATCGATTTCAGGACATTCGTTGAGCCGTTGTTATACCCGAAATCTGAACAAATTTAAGATTTCGCAACGTAATCGGATAGACTGGCGCTCTATTTAGTCTTCCTAGATTTAATTTAGTCTTTAATTTACTAGAGTTTTGATTTTCATAGCCTAAGCCATTGCTTGGGTCGCAATTTGACCGCGTAATCTAATAATCTAGCGATTTTGGTAACGTAATTGGCCAAAAATTTTGGTTTTTGGTTGCGAAATTGGTTGCATGACAACTATTTTGATAGCGTAATCGAAAAATCCGGAATTTAGCACGTGTAACTGGTTAATTTCATAGCGTAAGCAATTGCTAGTCGGAGTAAATTTAATGGCGTAATCGATCTATCTCCTAGTATCCAGGAATTACGGGTAAAACTAACCGAGAGAAATGATGATACCGCCCTCGTAGTTTTGGAAGACCAATGCTGAATAGGATGGCGAGGAGTAATTGCCGTCCCTGCAATCGTTTTAGCTCATTTTTCAGAGCCCCCTTTATTACCGATATCCGGCCCCAACCACGATGATCACCTTCCGGGCATACGGACGGTGCTCAGAGCTGTTGAAATGAGCACGAGCATCCGAAATTGCGCTGGAAATTCGCCAAAAATTAAGTGGATGTGAAAAAAGCCCCACGCATCGATGTTCGTGCCATAATCGGAAGGGAGTGGCTGGATTTGTTGTGTCATGAAACCGTCGGAATTTGTGTAGCGGTCGAGGCTGGCCAGATGGTGCACAGTATCGCCTAAAAACGGGGTTTTCGTCTTATTTAAATGAATTAAAAGGCAACGCATAGTCCGTGCGACCAAGCTAAAAAAACTTATGAAAATAACGTTTCTCCTAAAATTTTCTAAGACTGTAAAAATAGTAAAATGTGACAAATTGCTACAAAACCCTGCAGCAAACGGCTTGAAAAGCTACTTTTCTCAAATCCCGTAGCTTCCAGGCCGTGTTCAAAAACGCTAATTTTTTCCGAATTTTTTGCTGCATCGAACGATTTATATCATGCTGTATTTTAACCCAAAATTGGATTTTTATAGCGTAAAAAGCCGAAAAAATCGACTTACCATAAACAGAAATCCCAATCCTCGTATCCTGTTGCCCCTGGCCGATCGATAATTGGAAGAGCGAGTCTTTGATGATGGATACTACCTGTCAATTTTGAAAATTACTAATTTTAGCATCCCCCACCTGCTTGAACTTGGCCGCCGTGAACAAGACACCATCAAAAAGAACATAAACGTCGGTCCACACCTAAATATAATACATGGAATGCGGCACGCGGGGGGATACGCGGGGGGACGGGACAGGCAGGCTTTGGATGTTCGTTATTTTCTCGGAATTTCGCAACGGCATCTAGAGCACGAAAAAAACAAAAGGTTTAGCAAAAAGTGTAAATAAAAAAGATGGCAAAACCAAAAAAGCTGGAACGGTTGGCGGCGTTTCGAATTCGCGCAGTTTCGACATTTAAATGATGCCATCGATAGAGCACCAAAAAATACTCAGGTTCATTTAGCCAAAAAAGTAAAAAAAAGTTATAACAAAAACAAGTATAAACGTTGTTTCATGGCGGAATAGAAGGAAACAAATTCGACATTCGACATTTACAAAAATTATTAGTGCCACACGAGCGCAAAAAAAACAAGAGGTTTGTAGCAGACGCAAAAAATAGTTAGCCGGCCCCAACGTCCGTCCCACCCGCGTTCCCGCGTGGCTGACATATACCTAATACATTTTAAAGGTATAGGTGTTTTTCCAGGAATTTTGCAATGGTTTTAGACGATCCTAAACGCAGTCCCTGACCTTTTTCGGCTCACAAGGACACGTCAAATTGTCTGAAAATACTGGCGTAGTGGTAGTCATTGGTCGTGGCTGGGTTGAAGTTGCGGGCAAATTTTTGCAGCCCTGATCGGCCGTCTGATTGTTACGGCATACTTGCGAGAATACGGTAGCCGAGAAATCGGCGGGGAATGGATATTGCTGGCAGATTACCCTGAAAAAAAGAGCATTAACCGTTAAAAGTCATCCAGTTTTACGAAAAACCCCATTTTTCCAGTTCGAAGCAAATAAAAACGTAATGATGCGTATTCTAAAAGTATAACAACTATTAAAATGTTGTATAGTTTAATCAAAAAAGGCAAAAAATTTGGAACGCTTCACGAATTTGCGTGTCATCCTTGCGCAGGGGCCATGCTAATCTTCTCTGTATTGTTCCAATTTTAGTATATGTTCATAGGAATGAACGAGGGGTGGGGAAGGGACCCTCCTTATATACCCCCACCAAATGGGTGGGCCAGCTGGGGCGCGTTTCGGGGGCACAGAGGGAGCAGAGGGATTAGCGGGCAGATTGGTGCCTTTCAGCCTTACAAATTTGACATAAAAACCCATAAGTCATAATTTTAATAAGCTGACTGGTAAATTGTCAAGAACTACAAACTACAACGCCTAAAAACGCTATAAAGCATCGGTTTTACGAAAAACGGAGCGGTTTTGAGCCAATGTTTCGCAATTTTAAGCTTTTCTAGTTTTTTAAAGGTCTGAAACGGGTTTCATATTTGCTTTTCCATCGTAATAAAGTTATTTAAACTCACCTAGTCCCTTTCCAGGAGCTAAAATCGGCCGTCCCCATATTTACCACAGTAAATCGAGTGCCTCCAAATGCAGAAAGAAATTTGGCCGACTCATCCACATCCACTTGATCGCTAGAAAATGCTCGTGTTACCGTAACTTTCATTAAATCCTCACTGTGTGGCCGTAATCCATAAAATATCGTCGTAATGACTCTCGTAGACGCCAGTAATGTTGTAGAGACCGAGCAGGGCGCTAAAAATCTTAGTTTTTGCTTTTCTATTTTCCTCAAAAATCCCTGCTTGTCAGTTTACGAGAAAACTAACGTCTCAATCAAACAGATCCCGTAATGGTTCGCCTTCTCGTAGGTCAGTAGCCCCTCGTAGTTCTCGCAAAGCACTTTCGGGCTGCTCTTCGCGAAATCGAGCATGATAGGGCTCCACGAAACGGATGGATCACCCAGCCCGTAATAGCCCATCGTTATGGAATAGTTTCCAGATGAGAGATCGAGGGTCGAGAGGTAGGTGGACACGAATTCGAACACCTGGAATTGGCTTTCGTCGGCTTTATACGTCAAAAACTATCATAAAACTCTGATTTTGCGGTTTTAAACGGCTAACAACATCGAAAAGACGTTAAAAACTACGGAAAAACTATTAAAATCAACGCGATCGGCCCGGAAAATACCTTTGTAGCCGTTTTCTCATCGGCCTGATATTTTGTCGAATCGACAATTATTGCCGTATGCTTTCCGCACGGCTCCACATTGCCCTGCCCTATCGTACATTTTGCAGAGACTGAAAAACTGATTAAAACCGAAATCAGACCCAAGCAAATCCTCAAAGTTCTAGTTTTTGCCACTTTTCTCGCAACAGACGGCCGGAACGTCCATTTTTTACCTGATCCCAAACTTGACTTACCAAGGTGAAGCCCTAGCGCGATGAAAGCGAGGAAAAAACGCATCCCAAAAATGAAGATTTAGACTAGAACGTCCAATTTAGCCAAATCAAAAGCGCTGGCAGCTGGTTTCCCGGGAATTCTCGGGTTTTCCATGCGCTGATAAGACGGAAACGCCGACCAAAGCTTATCGCACCGTGTTTTGACGTCAAATGACGTAGAAGACGATTTTTAAAGGTCACTCAAGTGGAAAAACTACGAAAGCAAAAATTTAATTGTTTTTTATTTTTATTTTGCTAATTATTTTTCAATTCCGTTCCACTCCAAATGACGGCAAGGCGTTGTGTTTCGTAGCTATGCGCGCGTTTTTAGTAACTTTCCGATATTAAAATTTTTAAGTTTAAAAAATAGGAAAACTTGATTTTAACTATGGGTCTATATGTTTTCTTTTTATCGTTTTTTTGCAGTAATGCCTCGAGGTGGCGATGTCGTCGAAAAGAAGATTGAAGACATCGTCGTCAACATGATGCGCCAATTGTCCCAACCGGGCGCCTCGTATCGACAACTCCAGTTGACCGCGTACGTTTTACCGGTAAATTTATATTTTCCATTATTTTGGTAACTAGTTTTTCCAGAAATCTCGACGGCACCGAACCCCGCCTCGGCTACACCAATACGGCCGCCGGTCTCGAGAAGCTGGCCCGAGATATGGCCGCGTTGGCCAAGGTAAGCATTGGCACTCTTTATAGGCCTGGTATTTTTCTTTAGGTCTATGAACTGTCAAAGACGAACGCTACGGCAACAAAGAGGGACGTCTTCTACGATGACAAAATGATCTACGAGACACAACGGAGGGCAGATAGCGCTATCACAAATGTCTGCGAGCTGTTGGATGTGGAACGGCAGAAAATTCGCATTGTAAGATCGTTTGTTTTAACACTAAAAACTTTTGCGATCTTGTCCTACTTTTGAAAAACGTGTACATTTTCGCCAATTTTTCGTTACTTTGGCCTAAATTTTCGAAAAATATGTAGTTTAATCCAAATTTTGTTGACTTTAAGCGGACAATTTGTTTTTCTCTAACAACCTTGGCTAGTTTGACCGGCTTTTGAAGAACTACAAAAAAATGTGCTTTTTTTTCTTGCTGTTTTTATTAAACTGGCGAAAAAATGTGATTTTTAACGTCGATTTACAGACGTCAAGCAGCAAGGCGTTCCTCCGTGGCGAACTCACCTTCATCGATGATGAAGGTTTTTCTTTATTTGTCATCTATCCATCTTTTTCCAGCAAAAACAATCGATGCCCGCGCCGCCGCGATCCCAATATCCGAGTCACTGGTGGAGTATCGTCCAATTTCATCGGCTCTATTCATCCTCGTCATCGAGAAGGACGCCACCTTCCAACGGCTGATAGATGCCGGATATTTCAACGTGTTTCCACACTCGATTCTCATGACGGTCAGTGGATTTTTGTCGCGGAATTTTCATGATTTTTATTTTCAGGGTCGCGGGTATCCAGATCTTTGCTCTCGAAAGGTGCTCCGTTTCCTCGGCGATCGTCTGGCTATCCCAATCTTTGGCCTATTCGATGCTGATGTGCACGGTGATCGGATTTTCGTGACGTAATGGATCCTATATCTTTTTTTCAGGTCTCTCCATCTACCTGTCCTACAAATACGGCTCCGGGAAGTGGCATGTCGAATCGAGCGGTGTCGCCGTCCCCAAGATACAGTAGCTTTCTAAAAATTTTCTCGAGCTCTCAACTCCAGATGGCTCGGCCTCGGCTTCTCCGACCTCGACAATTTGCCAATTCCGGAGGTAATTTTTTTCCTGCTTAATTTTTCACGATTTTTTCATTTCCAGGACCAATACCTGCCGATCAAATTTGCGGAAAAGAAAAGGTTGCGCCAACTCATCCACCGGGCCACCCAAATAAACGAGCCGGTCATTGTCAAAGAGGTAATTTTTCGAATTTTGTGGGGGCAATCTGGCAATGTTTCTTTGGGGAAGTTTTTAAATTTTTTTCAGGCAGAAAAGATGCTGGAAACCGGAAAGAAGGTCGAGCTGGAGGTGTTGACTGGTGGCGCGGGACTCGGCTCACGTTATATCGTTACGTACGTTTTTTTGGAAAGATTTTTTATTATTTTTCTAGTTTCACTTTTCCATTGAATTTTTTAGAGACTACTTGCGCAGAAAATTGTACAACTACCTCCCGTGCACTTCCCAAGGCGAATCGGCCCGTTCTTCTTCAGCAGCCTCCGGTTCCCAACGATCTCTTCCTACCGACTCGCAAAAATATTTCTAATTTTGCTGTATGTTTTTCGAGCTTTCTTCTAACTATCTATTTGTTGTTTGTCTCGTAGCGGTGCATCGTTTTGCTCTCAAAAAGCCCTCACATTCTTCTACTCTTTCGATTTTTTTTGGTTAACATGTTTTGTCAGATTTTTGTGTGCTTGTCGATTCGGATAAAGCGGTTTTACGGCTTGGCCTTTTTTTGCGATGAATTTCCGGTCGATGGGCCTCCGCATTATAGTCATTACGCGCCTCTTGATCGCCTCAAACGCGTTCTGTTTCAGATGCGGATGTCCTCGAATGCTTTCAACTGCCCCAGCTGCCTGCGGCCTTACGATTTCAAAGATGGAGAGCCCAGGGTTCCCAGATACAATCCCGCCTGGCAATGTGTAGGATGTCACACTTGCTGCCCAAAATACCAAACACTTCATCGAGGCTTAATGGACTTCCTGAACCAGCCAGCCTTCATGAAGACGGAGAAGGGATACGACTACACTCTACTTATCAACGATCCAGTCTGTTTTGGATGTCAAGGCAACATCCTACTGTCTGAGGGAGCGAGCGCCTTCGTTGGCAAATGTGGACACTATCTCTGCCAGCTATGTGACCGCAATAAGTCGAAGATCGGCAGGATGTGCAACACGTGTAACATTCAGACTGACGGATCTGGATGGCGTATCGACAGCGTATTGCTACGCTTCTTTTTCGCCAAGTTCGTACGTGGACAGCAATTGCATCAGATTGAGGCCAAAAAGGAGGAAGCTCGTATGACCGGAGCTCTGAAAAATTGCTTGTATTGTGGTAACGAGCAGGCCGTCGAGCGTCTTTTCAAATGCTTCGACTGCGATAAGATCATCTGCGGAAACTGCTTCTTTGATTTCCACCGTGAACATTCTCTGCAGAAGCTTCTCGGTATCTCACTCGATGAAATTGAGAAGGAGCACAAAAGTATATTCACGTCAATTCTGCAGGGCCTGCACGGAAACTTGAAGCACATCCAAAATACTATCGATCAGGCCGTATTAAACGTCTTGGCGGCTGGAAAGAAACGGTTCCTGAAGACCATGAAGTGTGTCAACATAGAAGCGGCACTGAAAATCGTCGATAGGGTGGATAAAGCCACCGAAAAATTCGAGCAACATTGCGAGGACTACATACCTGTTGCTCGCGAATTGGCCACTCGTTTGACGGAGCTTGGCGAGGAGTTGGCGAAAGATACGGAATAAGATGCAGTCATTGCTTTCATTTTGTTATTGTTTTTCACGTTTTGCTTGTTGAATAAAATTATTGTTTGAGAACTGTCGCTTCTTAAAACAACGCGCTTGCTCGCTGTTAACAATTTTTGCTGAGATTGTGCTTTTGAGAATTCGCGGATTTCACTTTTGACTTTGCATATGTTTCCTACGGTCTTTCATTTATTTAGTTTTCTACTAAATCTTTTTTTCAGGTGTCGATTTTCACGGGTGTTTTCAACTGTCTACGATGCAAGAACTTCGGACGGCAAGGAAGGGGAGGCGAACATTCTCTCCAACTGCACTTCACACTGGAATTTGTAGGTTTTGCATTTTCTAGGGCATATTTCTTTGAATTCGTATTTTGCATATCGTTGTTATCGCGTTCACAGTTATCCTTTCAGGATCAGGATGCCGTCACTCAATTTGACGACAACTACACGGTGTGGTGATCGACTCTCCCTGGTGAACTCGTTGCCCTCGTTGCGGCAATGTATTTGCTGAAACGAGTCGGCCCAATTGCTGCCACCGTGGCCACCGTCCACTATTACTATGACGGGGATCTGAACCACTTTTTGAGCAGGTAAAAGACTTATTTTTCGTCATTTTTCTTTTTGAGAAAAGTACACGCGTGGAGTGACCCGTCAAGAATCTACAAACTCTCTGAAATTGAGGAGGGTCGCGAGGTGTACCCGAGAAAACCATGGGATTCCAATTGGGATCAGTTCGTTTTGTTGTAATTATTTAATTTTTTGTTTTAGTCGGGAGTCGAGGCAGCTGGCCGTGGCCAAGGATCCGAATGCGTCGAAGGACAAGCAGCGAGAGCTCGTCGGAAAGGTATCAAATTTAATTTTACTCAATTTATTGTTATTTTTAGTACAAACCGACGGCCAATCGGAACATCATCCTGATCAGGCATGGCCAATATGTCATGGATTCGAAGGAGAAATCTCTGTCCGATCTTGGTATCGCTTTTCTGTTAATCAAAACCAACTTCCAGGCCGAAAACAAGCCGAACTGCTCGCCGACCGGTTGGCCATCACCGACATCAAGGTCCGCGCTATTTAAATGTCGTAATGATTTCTTTTGAATTTAGTTTGACGCCCTCCACATGTCTCCACTCAATCGAGCCACCGAAACGGCCGATATTTTGCTGCAAAAGGTGGAGTGTCTCTAGTATCGTAACGTACTCTTTTTCAGCTTCCACCAGATCTGGTGCGTAAAATGGATCCGATGCTCGAGGAGGGCCCACCGTATCCACCCGAACCGGCCGCTTATCACTGGGTACCCTCCACCAATGTGCGCATTTTACAATTTTAATCAGATAATTTTATTTTCTAGGAATTTGTGACTGACGGTATGCGAATCGAGGCGGCTTTTCGCAAATACTTCCACCGTGCATCGCCGCGCCAGACCGACGATTCGACCGAGATTTTCGTCTGCCATTCCAACGTCATCCGATATTTTGTCTGTCGGTACGGTATTTTCTTATTTTCTCTCTTCTTTATCGATTCAAAATAAAGATAATTTTGTATTTGCAGAGCGCTACAATTCCCTCCGGAAGGCTGGCTCCGTCTATCCGTCGCCAACTGCTCGATCACGTGGCTGCAAATCCGCCCGAATGGCCGTGTCACTCTGAAAAGTCTTTCTGATGTCGGCCATTTGCCCCACAAGAAAGTCACGTTCGGCTGATGCTCAATTTATTTAATAGAACAAGATTGATGTTAAATTAGAAACGCTGTGTGTCAACTTGTGTATTTGTTATCTTTCGGCCTCTTCTCTCATGCTTCTTCTACTATTCGAATTGTTTTTCTTTGGATGTGTTTGTAGTATTCTCTCTGTGTTACTTGATGCGGATAAAGTATTATTACGGCTTGTCATTTTTATGAATTTGTGGTCATTGCAGCCTAGGGATTATAGTAAGAACATGCGCGTTTGAATTTTTTAAAACGGCCACTGATTCAGATGTCGTTGTTCACGGATGCTTTCAACTGCATGAAGTGCAAGAAGCCATTGTATTTCAAAGAAGGAGAGGCTAGGCTACCAGCACACTATACAGGTCGCAAAAGTCTGTTTTGCCACACGTGCTACCCTACCAGCAAGAAAGGCGGTCGGGGCCTGATGGAATTCCTCGATCAGCCGGCCTTCAAGAAGACGGAGAAGGGATATGACTACGCTCTACCTATGAACGATCCAAAATGTTTCGGATGTGAAGGGGACATCAAAGTGTTCGAGGGACAGATTGCGTTGTTGGCAAACTGCGGGCACTATCTTTGTCAACAATGTGACTTCAAGAAGTCGAATGCTGGTATCCTCTGTAACAAGTGCAACATGGTGGAAGACTGCTCGGATTGGCGTACCGATACCGTGCTCGCGGCTTTCTGCCGTACGAAGGATGTGCAAGAATATCTATTGAAGCAGGCCGCAGCCAAGACGGAGAAAGGTCGGCATCCCCGAGCCTTGAACGACTGTGCGGATTGTGGCGGCGAGCAGCGCGTGGAGCGTCTTTTCAAATGCCACGACTGTACTAAGAACGTTTGCGGATATTGCTTCTACGATTCCCACCGGGATCACTCTGTGGACAAGCTTCTCGGCATCGAGCTTGATCATCTGGAAAAGCAACACGACAAACGCTTCACGGAAAATGTGGAAGGCCTTCATGGAAACATGAAATACATTCAAACTACTATCGACGAAGCGGTCGGGAAAGTTCTCCTTGCCGGAAAGGAGCGTTTGTCCGAGATCTCGAAGCGCCCCAAGTATGAAGAGGCTCAGGACATTGCGAGGGTGATCGAGAAAGCGGCTGAGGATTTCGAGAAGCACTGCGAGGAATATATTCCCGTTGGCCGCAAATTGGCCACTCGACTGACCGAGCTCGGCGAAGAATTGATGAAGGATAAGAAATAGATTAGACACGTTACATTTTAATATGATTTTGAAGCGTTTTTGATATTGAATAAATTTTATGATGTCCAAACCCTTCTGTGTTTCAGAAAATTGGTTTTTTGAAAAGCCGTGATTTTTTCTGAGCGATATTGGGTTCGTTGGAACATTTTGCGATAGTTTTGAGGCATAGTTTTCGTCGCTTCAGCTGCTAGTCAATTTTTAAAAACAACGCGGGAAAGTTGTAGCACTTAGATCTACAAAAAATTGCCGATTTTGGAAATGAGGTCGTGCGCGTTTTCTTTTAAAAATTCCAGATAGCTTTTTTGAAAAAATTCACGCTCGAGACAGCGTGTTTTGAGAAAATTCTTACATTTTTCGAATATATTAATTTTCCGTTCGATGCGAAGAAGAGTTCATGCCGAGAAATGGTACTGGATTGTTAGCAGGGGGAATACTAACTTTTCCAAGTGTTCTTGTACCACCCTATAACAAAATAAAAACCAGTTTTATAACATTTTAGGCAGTTTTTTAGTTCTAAAAAATCTCATAAGACACAAAAATTTCCGTGCTTTTTTACGTTTGGGTCAAAAATGTATGAAAATGGTCAAAAAGGTAAACATTTTCGAATTTTCAAAAATGAAAGATTTTTGTAAATTGTTAGCAATCAAAAAGTAATCAGAACACTATAAAAATACATTATTTATTCGTAACCGGTGGGCATATACGGGCAAAGTAAAAAAATGGTTGCCCCCTGCTAAGAGTCCAGTACCATTGAACTCACTGGACGTACAGAACCTCTCAAACATCATTGCATCAGCTGTTTTCAGGTAATCAACGATGCTGACGAAGGCCTTCAACTGCCCGAAATGCAACAAACCTTTCGATCGCACGGAAGAAGGGGACCACCGACCCGTCGTCTGGCCAGCCGGGATTTCGTGTTTCCGCTGTAAAACCCCAGACGATTGTTGGTGGCATCTAGGTTTGACGGACTTCTTGAACCAGCCGGCATTCAAAAAGACTCAAATCGGATACGAATATACCTTGCCAATCAACGAGCCAACATGTGCCAAATGTGACGGAAGCATCAAAATCCTGGAGGGATGCAGTGCTTTTCGCGCCGATTGTGGACATTATCTCTGCCAAGGATGCAAGCCTACCTTGGGTGGTTTTCTATGTATCAAATGCAAAAGACCGAGAATTAACCGGAAGGTTTTCCCTGTAGACGACGTATTAGCCGGCTTCGCAAGGATGGTCAACAAGGATGATGAAATCGAGCAGCTAAAAGAGAGCTTGGACGCTTGCAAGGAGGAAGTCGAGGAATTCAAGGCTCGATTCGATGCACTTGAAAAGGAAAAAGCTCTCGAAGGTGCAGCCAAGAGGAACTGCGCAGATTGTGGCATCGAACGACCGATTGAACGTCTTTACAAATGTAAAGATTGCGAAACCGTCAATTGCTCCTTCGATTCTCATCACGGACATGCTGTCGTCAAACTGCTTGGTGTAGAACTGGATCAGATGAAGAAGCAAAATGATAAGAGATACAACGAGACAATCCAAGGCCTCCACGGAAATCTGCAATACGTTCAGAAGGGCGTCAACGAAGCTGTGGAAAAAGTTTTGGTCGCTGGAAAGGATTGTCTGGCTGAGATTCCTAAGCGCGCCAAATATGATGAAGCGCTTGAGATCGCGACGGCAGTCGAGAAGGCGGCCGAGGAATTCGAGAAGCACTGCGAGGAGTACATTCCGGTCGGTCGCAAATTGGCTACTCGACTGACCGAGCTCAGTGAAAGATTGGTCCAAAAGAAAAAGAAGTGAATCGCCAGAATTGTTATAGATTTGCTGTTGTTGTTTTGACTTTTTGTTGAATAAACCGATTTCATTCTCAAAATAATGCTGTTGTTATCGACGCTACGGTTTTTGGCCATATTCTCGGTTGACGAATTTGATTACAATAATCTCGCAAGAGTTGCGTTCCAACCGTTTTCGACACCCTCTCCCCTTCTTCGGCTCTTATCATAGATGTAAAACCCTAAATAAATTATCTATTTTCAGGTAATCAACGATGCTGACGAAGCTCTTCAACTGCCCCACATGCCTGCAGCCTTTCGATTGCAAGATGGGAGAGCCAAGAACACCCGTGTTGGAAGCTGCTCGCGCAATCGTCTTCTGCCGTACCTGCACCCCGCACGCGACGCATAAGCAACAGCGTGGACTGATGGACTTCCTGGATCAACCGGCATTCAAAAAGACGGACGATGGCTATGAATACTCTCTGCCGATCACCGACCCAAAATGCTTTGGTTGTGAGGAGGAGATCAAAGTCATCGTGGGCTCCATTGCTTACCCTGCTTCGTGTGGCCACACCCTTTGCAAGGGTTGCGCGACCCAGCAGAAGGCAGGAAGGGCCTTCTTCTGCAACAGGTGCACTGTCAACGCCGATACCTCGGATATGCGTACATTGAACAGCCTATTGGCCGCTTTTTCCCACGTTGCCAGGAATGATCAAATCGAGGCACTGGTGGAGCGCTTGACGGCCGGAGAAAAGGAAATTGAAGCTTTGAAGGCAGCAAAGGTTTTGGCGGAGCCTGTCACGCCGAAAAACGCGGACGCTCCTATCGAAGCTGGAAGAACCGTCCGGAACTGTGCAAGCTGCGGAATCGAGCAGCCGGTTGAGCGCCTGTACAACTGTGAAGATTGTACGACGATCAATTGCGGCAATTGCTCATTCGATTCGCACCAAGGGCATGAAGTAGTCAAGCTCATAGGCGTCGCACTTGATACTCTCGAAAAGGGAAATGATAAGAGATACACCGAGACGATCCAAGGCCTCAGCGGCAATCTGCAATACGTGCAGAAAGGCGTCAATGAAGCTGTGGAGAAGGTGTTGGCTGCTGGAAAGGATTGCTTGGCTCAAGTCAAGGAGTGCACGAAATATGATGATGCTCAGGACATCGTCACCATGATTAACGACGCGGCCGACGAGTTTGAGAGGCATTGCGAAGTCTACATTCCGGTTGCTCGCGAATTGGCCACCCAACTGACCGAGCTCAGTGAAAGATTGGTGCAAGAGAAAAAGAAGTGAATGGCCAGAATTGTTATCGATTTGTTGTTGTTGTTTTTGCTTTGCGTTGAATAAAACTATTTAATTCCTAAAATGGTGAGCTTGTTATCGACCATACGGTTTTCAACCATGATTGCCGGAAAAAGCCTCCACACTTATCCTTTTCTCGCTGTTCTGTTTAACATTTTTCTCCACGAAGCAATCTCAACATTTTATTTTCAGATAAACGACGATGTTCACGGATCTCTTCAACTGCCCCAAGTGCGACGAGCCTTTCGATTGCAAGGAAGGAGAGCCAAAGATTCCCGGATACGACAGGAAGTATGGTCGCTCCTGGTGTCTTGCATGCTTCGCTAACTTTACGACGTTAGATCGAGGCCTGATGGATTTCCTGAATCAACCTGCATTCAAGAAAGTCGATGGAGGTTATGAATATACTCTACCCATCAACGATCCAAAATGCATTGCATGTAACGGCAATACAAACGTGCTCGTCGGAAAGGATGCTACGATGATCAGATGTGGACATTATATTTGCGAGACCTGCGATAACAATCGGATGTGGGCGGCGCTGATAATTTCCTGTTCTCAGTGCGGAGTCAATTCTGATAAGTCGACCTGTGTTCAGTTGAGCGCCATTTTGATGGCCTTTTCCAGTTTCCTGAAGGGGCAGCGCAGCGGGGAAGCGATCGGGATTCAGATCGGGATTCAGAAAGGCATTACTGCCGATGAAGCGAAGAAG